CAACAAATGCAGCAATATAATAAAAGAATATAATAAATGTATGCTGCGTGTGAGCAGCATGTGCAGCAGTCAACAGTCATTGTGCAATTATCCATGTGCAAATGAGAATGTAAACAGTACATCACGTATTTCCTGGTAATAAACTCCTCAGCTGTTTAGGAGTCTAATGGCAGAGGTAGGAGTCTAATGGCAGAGGGAAAGAAAGAGTTTTTCAGTCTAGTGGTCCTACATTTCACACTTCTGAACCTCTGGCCAGAGGGTAGGGACATGAACAGTCCGTGCTGGGGGTGGGTGGGGTCTTTGAGGATGGAGGCAGCTTTCCTACCCCCTCAAGGTGCCGCCAGAACCGCAAGGGGCCCACAAGGCCGTGACACATCCTTGAAGCCATTTTGTATGGCCACATCACGAAATGCATTTAACCAACTAAAGTTTTTCTATCATGTACAAGACACATGCTGTTGTAAAACTCATTTGAAATGTTATAAAACAAGGTCAGGTGTTGCTACATCTGAACTAGCTCTCAACAGCAACTTTCTCCTTTAAGATCATTTTGCAGGGATGTTTTTACTAAAAAATATTTGACTGCTTTTGCTTTCTGTAGTTTTACGCAACAAAAATGAGGGGAGGAAGAGTTTTTCTCATTTGCATGTTGTGAATCAAGTCCAACTTTCAAAATGATCTCAACCAAATTAAAAAACACTTCCTCCTCTCATTTTTCCCTTAATGCAGCCCTAATCCATTATCTTATCAGTGTTAATTTTGGCACCTGAATTTGATTTAGCTTCTAGTCAGTGAAATCTAAAACTATTTGAGCTAAAATCAACATGTGAAACAAACATATCAGCTAAACAAAGTCCCAAGAAATTAACTACTCAACTGAACATTAGTATGAACTAATACTTGACTTACTGGAGACTTTACAAGTGACTTGAATCTTCCAGTTTTTTCCTCTGCAGATGCTCCTCTCTTCCTTCTACAAAAATCCTGCAGCACTTTCAGAGTCATTGCTTTTTCCTAAACGATCAACTCGTCCTCTCCAGTCCAAGCTATGTGTTCTACTGTTTCAGTCCTGAGTATTCTCTGGCTGTCTTCACCTATCTACCCCTGTTATGATGACATGACATTCGTGCACACATCAAAGGACACTGAAGCCAATGACATCATGCGTTCCCTAGCAACAACTTACTGCCTGACCCTAACCCCAAAATCCTAGGTTTAACCCTGAAACAGCCTCAAGCCAAAGGTGTGTAGGAAAGTGAGGACTGGCCAAAATGTCCCCACCTTACCACACTGTTTTCACTCCCATGGTGTAACAACACTCAACCTGATCTTCACAATATAAAGCCATACAAGTACAGATCTCTTGAGCTTTCTTTGCTGTGAGTGTAACCTGCTGTTTCAGTTCTCAACTTTAACTCTAAGTAGCTTAAATCCTAAAAGGTTCGCTTAGATACTGGAGCACCTTCCTAAAGCAGGAACCATAAAATGTTTCACAGAAGGCAAATGCAACTAATACAGTACAGAACCTTGAAACAGTGCCCGCGTGCCACCGGATCCGCAAGCTGCTCACAATGAACATTTGAAACACAAGGAAAACACAAACAAAAATCCACCATTAGCAAGCTCTCGGCAATATTGGGAAGGTACAACTCCCTTTAATGGAAGAAACCTTCGGCAGAACCATGCTCTTGGTGGGCGGCCATCTGCCTAGACCGGTTGTATTGAGCACAAACAAATGGTAAGATAGTTTCACACACAATGGGGCTGACAGCTAAAGGCTGTCTATGCCCTCATGTGCTCCCCCTCAAGGTGCCGCCAGAACCGCAAGGGGCCCACAAGGCCGTGACACATCCTTGAAGCCATTTTGTATGGCCACATCACGAAATGCATTTAACCAACTAAAGTTTTTCTATCATGTACAAGACACATGCTGTTGTAAAACTCATTTGAAATGTTATAAAACAAGGTCAGGTGTTGCTACATCTGAACTAGCTCTCAACAGCAACTTTCTCCTTTAAGATCATTTTGCAGGGATGTTTTTACTAAAAAATATTTGACTGCTTTTGCTTTCTGTAGTTTTACGCAACAAAAATGAGGGGAGGAAGAGTTTTTCTCATTTGCATGTTGTGAATCAAGTCCAACTTTCAAAATGATCTCAACCAAATTAAAAAACACTTCCTCCTCTCATTTTTCCCTTAATGCAGCCCTAATCCATTATCTTATCAGTGTTAATTTTGGCACCTGAATTTGATTTAGCTTCTAGTCAGTGAAATCTAAAACTATTTGAGCTAAAATCAACATGTGAAACAAACATATCAGCTAAACAAAGTCCCAAGAAATTAACTACTCAACTGAACATTAGTATGAACTAATACTTGACTTACTGGAGACTTTACAAGTGACTTGAATCTTCCAGTTTTTTCCTCTGCAGATGCTCCTCTCTTCCTTCTACAAAAATCCTGCAGCACTTTCAGAGTCATTGCTTTTTCCTAAACGATCAACTCGTCCTCTCCAGTCCAAGCTATGTGTTCTACTGTTTCAGTCCTGAGTATTCTCTGGCTGTCTTCACCTATCTACCCCTGTTATGATGACATGACATTCGTGCACACATCAAAGGACACTGAAGCCAATGACATCATGCGTTCCCTAGCAACAACTTACTGCCTGACCCTAACCCCAAAATCCTAGGTTTAACCCTGAAACAGCCTCAAGCCAAAGGTGTGTAGGAAAGTGAGGACTGGCCAAAATGTCCCCACCTTACCACACTGTTTTCACTCCCATGGTGTAACAACACTCAACCTGATCTTCACAATATAAAGCCATACAAGTACAGATCTCTTGAGCTTTCTTTGCTGTGAGTGTAACCTGCTGTTTCAGTTCTCAACTTTAACTCTAAGTAGCTTAAATCCTAAAAGGTTCGCTTAGATACTGGAGCACCTTCCTAAAGCAGGAACCATAAAATGTTTCACAGAAGGCAAATGCAACTAATACAGTACAGAACCTTGAAACAGTGCCCGCGTGCCACCGGATCCGCAAGCTGCTCACAATGAACATTTGAAACACAAGGAAAACACAAACAAAAATCCACCATTAGCAAGCTCTCGGCAATATTGGGAAGGTACAACTCCCTTTAATGGAAGAAACCTTCGGCAGAACCATGCTCTTGGTGGGCGGCCATCTGCCTAGACCGGTTGTATTGAGCACAAACAAATGGTAAGATAGTTTCACACACAATGGGGCTGACAGCTAAAGGCTGTCTATGCCCTCATGTGCTCCCCCTCAAGGTGCCGCCAGAACCGCAAGGGGCCCACAAGGCCGTGACACATCCTTGAAGCCATTTTGTATGGCCACATCACGAAATGCATTTAACCAACTAAAGTTTTTCTATCATGTACAAGACACATGCTGTTGTAAAACTCATTTGAAATGTTATAAAACAAGGTCAGGTGTTGCTACATCTGAACTAGCTCTCAACAGCAACTTTCTCCTTTAAGATCATTTTGCAGGGATGTTTTTACTAAAAAATATTTGACTGCTTTTGCTTTCTGTAGTTTTACGCAACAAAAATGAGGGGAGGAAGAGTTTTTCTCATTTGCATGTTGTGAATCAAGTCCAACTTTCAAAATGATCTCAACCAAATTAAAAAACACTTCCTCCTCTCATTTTTCCCTTAATGCAGCCCTAATCCATTATCTTATCAGTGTTAATTTTGGCACCTGAATTTGATTTAGCTTCTAGTCAGTGAAATCTAAAACTATTTGAGCTAAAATCAACATGTGAAACAAACATATCAGCTAAACAAAGTCCCAAGAAATTAACTACTCAACTGAACATTAGTATGAACTAATACTTGACTTACTGGAGACTTTACAAGTGACTTGAATCTTCCAGTTTTTTCCTCTGCAGATGCTCCTCTCTTCCTTCTACAAAAATCCTGCAGCACTTTCAGAGTCATTGCTTTTTCCTAAACGATCAACTCGTCCTCTCCAGTCCAAGCTATGTGTTCTACTGTTTCAGTCCTGAGTATTCTCTGGCTGTCTTCACCTATCTACCCCTGTTATGATGACATGACATTCGTGCACACATCAAAGGACACTGAAGCCAATGACATCATGCGTTCCCTAGCAACAACTTACTGCCTGACCCTAACCCCAAAATCCTAGGTTTAACCCTGAAACAGCCTCAAGCCAAAGGTGTGTAGGAAAGTGAGGACTGGCCAAAATGTCCCCACCTTACCACACTGTTTTCACTCCCATGGTGTAACAACACTCAACCTGATCTTCACAATATAAAGCCATACAAGTACAGATCTCTTGAGCTTTCTTTGCTGTGAGTGTAACCTGCTGTTTCAGTTCTCAACTTTAACTCTAAGTAGCTTAAATCCTAAAAGGTTCGCTTAGATACTGGAGCACCTTCCTAAAGCAGGAACCATAAAATGTTTCACAGAAGGCAAATGCAACTAATACAGTACAGAACCTTGAAACAGTGCCCGCGTGCCACCGGATCCGCAAGCTGCTCACAATGAACATTTGAAACACAAGGAAAACACAAACAAAAATCCACCATTAGCAAGCTCTCGGCAATATTGGGAAGGTACAACTCCCTTTAATGGAAGAAACCTTCGGCAGAACCATGCTCTTGGTGGGCGGCCATCTGCCTAGACCGGTTGTATTGAGCACAAACAAATGGTAAGATAGTTTCACACACAATGGGGCTGACAGCTAAAGGCTGTCTATGCCCTCATGTGCTCCCCCTCAAGGTGCCGCCAGAACCGCAAGGGGCCCACAAGGCCGTGACACATCCTTGAAGCCATTTTGTATGGCCACATCACGAAATGCATTTAACCAACTAAAGTTTTTCTATCATGTACAAGACACATGCTGTTGTAAAACTCATTTGAAATGTTATAAAACAAGGTCAGGTGTTGCTACATCTGAACTAGCTCTCAACAGCAACTTTCTCCTTTAAGATCATTTTGCAGGGATGTTTTTACTAAAAAATATTTGACTGCTTTTGCTTTCTGTAGTTTTACGCAACAAAAATGAGGGGAGGAAGAGTTTTTCTCATTTGCATGTTGTGAATCAAGTCCAACTTTCAAAATGATCTCAACCAAATTAAAAAACACTTCCTCCTCTCATTTTTCCCTTAATGCAGCCCTAATCCATTATCTTATCAGTGTTAATTTTGGCACCTGAATTTGATTTAGCTTCTAGTCAGTGAAATCTAAAACTATTTGAGCTAAAATCAACATGTGAAACAAACATATCAGCTAAACAAAGTCCCAAGAAATTAACTACTCAACTGAACATTAGTATGAACTAATACTTGACTTACTGGAGACTTTACAAGTGACTTGAATCTTCCAGTTTTTTCCTCTGCAGATGCTCCTCTCTTCCTTCTACAAAAATCCTGCAGCACTTTCAGAGTCATTGCTTTTTCCTAAACGATCAACTCGTCCTCTCCAGTCCAAGCTATGTGTTCTACTGTTTCAGTCCTGAGTATTCTCTGGCTGTCTTCACCTATCTACCCCTGTTATGATGACATGACATTCGTGCACACATCAAAGGACACTGAAGCCAATGACATCATGCGTTCCCTAGCAACAACTTACTGCCTGACCCTAACCCCAAAATCCTAGGTTTAACCCTGAAACAGCCTCAAGCCAAAGGTGTGTAGGAAAGTGAGGACTGGCCAAAATGTCCCCACCTTACCACACTGTTTTCACTCCCATGGTGTAACAACACTCAACCTGATCTTCACAATATAAAGCCATACAAGTACAGATCTCTTGAGCTTTCTTTGCTGTGAGTGTAACCTGCTGTTTCAGTTCTCAACTTTAACTCTAAGTAGCTTAAATCCTAAAAGGTTCGCTTAGATACTGGAGCACCTTCCTAAAGCAGGAACCATAAAATGTTTCACAGAAGGCAAATGCAACTAATACAGTACAGAACCTTGAAACAGTGCCCGCGTGCCACCGGATCCGCAAGCTGCTCACAATGAACATTTGAAACACAAGGAAAACACAAACAAAAATCCACCATTAGCAAGCTCTCGGCAATATTGGGAAGGTACAACTCCCTTTAATGGAAGAAACCTTCGGCAGAACCATGCTCTTGGTGGGCGGCCATCTGCCTAGACCGGTTGTATTGAGCACAAACAAATGGTAAGATAGTTTCACACACAATGGGGCTGACAGCTAAAGGCTGTCTATGCCCTCATGTGCTCCCCCTCAAGGTGCCGCCAGAACCGCAAGGGGCCCACAAGGCCGTGACACATCCTTGAAGCCATTTTGTATGGCCACATCACGAAATGCATTTAACCAACTAAAGTTTTTCTATCATGTACAAGACACATGCTGTTGTAAAACTCATTTGAAATGTTATAAAACAAGGTCAGGTGTTGCTACATCTGAACTAGCTCTCAACAGCAACTTTCTCCTTTAAGATCATTTTGCAGGGATGTTTTTACTAAAAAATATTTGACTGCTTTTGCTTTCTGTAGTTTTACGCAACAAAAATGAGGGGAGGAAGAGTTTTTCTCATTTGCATGTTGTGAATCAAGTCCAACTTTCAAAATGATCTCAACCAAATTAAAAAACACTTCCTCCTCTCATTTTTCCCTTAATGCAGCCCTAATCCATTATCTTATCAGTGTTAATTTTGGCACCTGAATTTGATTTAGCTTCTAGTCAGTGAAATCTAAAACTATTTGAGCTAAAATCAACATGTGAAACAAACATATCAGCTAAACAAAGTCCCAAGAAATTAACTACTCAACTGAACATTAGTATGAACTAATACTTGACTTACTGGAGACTTTACAAGTGACTTGAATCTTCCAGTTTTTTCCTCTGCAGATGCTCCTCTCTTCCTTCTACAAAAATCCTGCAGCACTTTCAGAGTCATTGCTTTTTCCTAAACGATCAACTCGTCCTCTCCAGTCCAAGCTATGTGTTCTACTGTTTCAGTCCTGAGTATTCTCTGGCTGTCTTCACCTATCTACCCCTGTTATGATGACATGACATTCGTGCACACATCAAAGGACACTGAAGCCAATGACATCATGCGTTCCCTAGCAACAACTTACTGCCTGACCCTAACCCCAAAATCCTAGGTTTAACCCTGAAACAGCCTCAAGCCAAAGGTGTGTAGGAAAGTGAGGACTGGCCAAAATGTCCCCACCTTACCACACTGTTTTCACTCCCATGGTGTAACAACACTCAACCTGATCTTCACAATATAAAGCCATACAAGTACAGATCTCTTGAGCTTTCTTTGCTGTGAGTGTAACCTGCTGTTTCAGTTCTCAACTTTAACTCTAAGTAGCTTAAATCCTAAAAGGTTCGCTTAGATACTGGAGCACCTTCCTAAAGCAGGAACCATAAAATGTTTCACAGAAGGCAAATGCAACTAATACAGTACAGAACCTTGAAACAGTGCCCGCGTGCCACCGGATCCGCAAGCTGCTCACAATGAACATTTGAAACACAAGGAAAACACAAACAAAAATCCACCATTAGCAAGCTCTCGGCAATATTGGGAAGGTACAACTCGCTTTAATGGAAGAAACCTTCGGCAGAACCATGCTCTTGGTGGGCGGCCATCTGCCTAGACCGGTTGTATTGAGCACAAACAAATGGTAAGATAGTTTCACACACAATGGGCCTTTTTAATATACCTTTATAAATTTGATGAGGTTGTCGACAGCTTGAGATACAGATATCTTTCCTGGTCTCTTTCGTTCTTGCACAGATGGTGGTAGCAGATGAAGCAGCAGCAAGATAGCAGGCATGTCACTGTCCCAGCCTACAGATCAACAAACATCAGATTAACATTATGCCATAAATACATTACCGTAAACTGGCACAATTACCTATATAACCAACAATGGTGATTGATTAAAAACAGACACAGTTGTACCATTCTCAACTTCAGCAGCTGACTCAGCATTGCACATTAATTCCAAGAGCACTGTGGTGGGTACCAGTCCATGGCTTTCCTTTAAAACTTTTGCTTTGATATTGGTGGGCCACTTCTCCAAGACTTTGTTGGCAGTGACCTCATCAAAAAGGTGTCTGAAATCTTGTTCTATCTGTAATGCAAAAATACAAAAAGGACTGATAAGTGACACTGCAGGCTGCATGGAATATTTCAGTGATTTAATGAATGATTTAAAGAAGAAACAGAAGTCTGAGGATTCCCCCCTCACCCCCCCTTTCAATAAAAGCAAGCATGTCTTACCAAAACATCTCTCTATGTGGTATAGACACACCATTTCAACTGAAAGCATGCTGTAACTGTGCGGACGACTGCATCTATGGGCTTGCATTCTGGGCCAGCCGCCTATACTGTGGCTGCAGACATGGGTCATGGCCGCTTATACTAACCTCCTGCTGTCTTCCCAAGCCAGCAATATGTGTAATATAATAAAAATAATAATAATAATAAAAGAAAGAGTACCAGGAGCCCCAGCTACTTTACTGTCTTTAACTGTAAGAGGACACCACTTGTCCCTCCTCTGACCAGCTGTCCATATATTTCACCTGTTCCTTACAGTACAGTAATTTATGCAGTGAAACTTTGTCCCTATTCAGCTAACATTGTTAAAAAGTCATGAAGCAAACAATCAAAGAGTCATGAAGTCCTGGTAACACGTCTCATAGTCCAGTACATCATTTCCTCAATGTACTGGAGAACAGTACATGAGATCTTACCTGCCAGTTTCGTCATGCAATCCTGCTAAATTTATTAAACACATGAAAACAGCGACACTCTGAAAGATGCAGAACATAAGTCAGTCATATTAAACCACTTGACCTCAGGTGGAACATCCAACAACAGTGCATGTAAATTTGGAACTTCTGTTTAAAATGCACTACAACCTCAAATAAAGATCTAATCTAATTAACCCACTGCTTAGATAATGTATAGAATGTACCACTTTTGTCCACTGTCATTACTGGCAAGATTGAAGTTTTACTGCATAAATTTTGCTATATAATCATTGAGCCTATATGTTTTGCTCATATTTACCACAAAACATGCTAAAACTGTTTTCCCTTTTCCATTTTTCTTACAGCTACCTATTTCTCTATTATGATAAGAGAAAATTATATTTGAACCTTCTGTTTCTTAAATCAAATATATGAGTGTACTTTAAACTTAGTTTTAAAATATTGGGGAGTGCAGTGAATTTGACAGACAGGGAGTGAGGCCTCCTGACAAATCATCATTAGTAAGTTCATTCACATTCTAACTAAATTAATAAAGGTGTTATCCACATCCCAACCAATACACCATGGTCTCGGCTTGTCTCACTCTTTGTCCTTCACCCCCACAGTCATTTGGTTTTGTGTAGCCAGAACCACAATGTCACATTCCAGACACCAGCACTTGCAGCTCAGCCGTCTCTTTCCTTGCTCTATAATTGCAGGAAATAGAGTTTGAAAAAGTCAGCATGACTCACACTGTCTTTATTGTTTCCCAGTGATGAATATTTAAGAGGGGGACCCCGCCCTTTGTTC